GGGAGTCCTGGAACCAATCCCTGTGGATACTGATTGACAACTGTCTATGGTAATAGAGTTCTGTTATAGAGGTCTGTTGAGGAAATCACTAAAACCATTGTTTTCCAAGCCATTTGTCAGGATAAATCAGTATGCAAAGAAAGCATAGGTGGTAGATGGCTAGTACTTTCACTCTTAAACTCTCTACTCTTCTGGTTTATTCTCTTTCTTGTGGTGTTATGTCCTCCAGATTTGAAATCCAGTTCTGAACTACTATCTGTCATTATTAGACAGGAGTTTAGTAGGAATTCACTCTTCTCTTGCCCATGTACGGAGTCCTGGTGTGGCACTGTAGGATAAGCATTGGACTGCTTACCACAGGCTCAGTGATTCAGACACATTAGCTGCTCCTTGGAAATTCTACACTGGGTCAATGTGAATCGGAACCAGTATGATAGCGTTTAACAACATGCACATGTATGTTAGGTGCTGTTGAGTTAGTTCTGACTCATAGTGACCATGTATAGGATTTTGGATCAAAAACCTCATCTTTCTCCTGTGGAAAGACTGGTAAGTTTGAACTGCTGATCTTTTAGTTAATAGTCCAGTGCTTATCCTACAGTGTCACCAGTGCTGCTTTCATGCCCATGTATGAAAACTACTTATCCTCCAAGATTTTTACCAGTGGATGGTGGAGTACATTGATGCCTTGGAGGATTTAGAAATAACCTTTTCATAATCTGGTTTACCTGTATCTTACTAAGACAGCACGACCCACTCTCTATGTCACAGTCGTTATTGCTCATTTTTAGTCCATTAAGATTACGTTTCAAGATGGTTTTTGTTGTTAAGTGCTGTCAAGTTGGTTCCGACTCATAGCGCCCTGTCTAAGGTTTCTGAGGATCTGCTGGTAACTAAGCTTGCAGTCCAGTGCATTATCCTGCAGTGCCGCACCAGGATTGCTTTCAAGATGGTAAAAGCATGAAACGTCCCTTACATTTATCCCATTTTAGAATTTAAAACTGAGTAAAACACAATTTTTTCATAAATAAATGTTCATAGAAATAGTTGATCTAGGGTGCAACAAATGTTAGCTTTCACTGGTTATTGTTCAAAGCCTTCATTTTAAAGGAAGAGTTATAATTGATTTCAGTCTTTGCATCTTAGTACACAGAGCACAGCGAAACCCAAACCCATGCCCTTAAAGTCAATTCCGACTCACAGTCACATTATTACACAGAATAGAACTGTCCCATAGGGTTTCCAAGGCTGTACCCTATACAGGGTTGCTGTGCGTCAGAACTGACTTGACAACACTTAACAACAAACAACAATCTTTACGAAACAGACTGTCAAATCGTTTCCCCACAGAGTGGTAAATGGGTTTGAATTACCAACTATTTGGTTAACAGCCAAGCACTTAACCATTGCACCGCTAGGGCTCCTACATAGGACATGTTGTTGGTAGGTACTATTGAGTTGTTCTTGACTTATAGTGAACAAGAACACACCAGAACAAAACACTGCCCAGTCTTGTACTATCCTCACAATTGTATTTGAGACCATTGTTGTAGTCCCTGTGTTGATCCTTATTGTTACGGATCTTCCTCTTTTTGGGTGACACTCTACCAAGCATAATGACCTTATTCAGGGACTAGTCCCTCCTGATAACATGTTCCAAGTATGTGAGACAAAGCCTCATCATCTGCACTTCTAAAGAGGATTCTGGCTGTACTTCCAAGACAGATT